TATGTATATACAACAACTAGATAGTAAGATAGCTGTCTTTATATTACAGTTGAGACCAATGTTGAAGTCGGCTGCCATTTATAAAGAAGACAATGTTTACATTTATTTTACATTTATTCATATAAATTTATACTTATTTATACAAAATAATATATACTGTGATAATATTATTTTGTAAACATTGCCTGCTTTGTAAATGGCGGCCGACTTCGATGATAAGAAAGAGGCGGCTATCTAGTTGTTGTATATGTCTATGGTTGTGACTTATGTTGTTCAGAACCTCCAAATAGCATGGTAGAGTATTAATAAGCTTGGGGTGTTTAAGTAGTATAATCATATATTAGGTAATAATATATGCAATGTCTAATCGACCGATAAATTAAAAAATATTCACTTAATAGAACAATATCGCTTTCAATTAGTTCAATATTATACACGCGTTATAATATTACCTATAATCTACATTATAATATTATAGTGTCCCCCGCGTCACGTGAAATCCAATCGAATGCGCGTATAAAGTAATTATTAAAATAAAAATCTTTACAATTATTACCATAATAAAATAATAATATAATACCTATACATAAACATAATAAATGATTAACATTGAGCAATAATACGTGCGGTTAAGCGGCTCAACGGTTAGAATATTTACCAATAGTGAATTCATGAATATGTTAACCTTTTCTAGTGGGGCAACTATTATATTATATATAGCAATACTAATATAAATTGTATCACGTTACCGCCCTCGCGCACCACCGGCCACCACACTGCTCGGTTTTCCTATATACCAGAACATTCTATATAATAATAATATATAACCTAGGATAATTATGAATACGTGAAAATATACTTTGATTTTAATTTCGAAAAAGCTGTTTCGGTCCAAAATTTGAACGTTTACACTTTACATAATCACATTTTGTATTGAATTCCTCGAAATCAAATTAACAAGTATAATGTTATAATTTAATTCATGTACATATATAATATATATATAGTTCACATTTAATACGACTTTGTGGTTTGTAATAAACACTGAATAACCTTATTTTAATATAGAACATTCAATATAATATATACACCAGATAAAATGGATTAAATGATTAAATAATGCAAATTCAAATTTAAAATGTGTTTCGGTCATGCATGCAACGATGCATCAAAAATTATGAATTCGTAATTTATGTACATGCACCTTACCAAATTATCATGTTTTACATGAGTCCTGAGTAATTATAATAAATACCTAGTTGATACTAAGGTACGCTATATCATAGATACTATATATTTAATGAAATATACTGTTAGTTTTTAATTTTTACTGCGATTTTTGTGATGTTAGCAGAATTTAATCGAAATTCGTGTTTACGAATGTGTCAAAATGTGTGCTATAAAAAATACAGCACATATTATAAAGTACTATTTTCTTTTAATATATAGTTAGTGTGTAGATACATACACACATAGTAAGTACAATGTACACCTTTTATTATTATTATTATTTTTCGTATTATCGAGGACCGGGGAGAGAACCACGATTTGCATAACAGCTCCCCGGCCCCCATCGTTTATTGACATAAAACATAGGTAAATTAATACATCAATAGCATCTGGCCTTAGCCGCCGCGACCTGGCAGACTTTCCTCAGCTATCGCTGGTAGGTATATGTCTGTCAGGGAGCGCATTGCTCGGGGGGCTCACAATAAAAATACGAAAACAGTATTGCATATAGCGTTTTACTATGTCGTAGTTGGGACTTGAGCTGTATTCTGCCTGGCTGCCAACTTCCTTGCTGGGCAGGCGCCGGTCCCTAGCTTATGGCTTGTCTTGGGCAGCCTTGCTAGTTCAAATAATAATATATTCAATAATAATAGTATAATTCATATATACATCTAACCTAACCTATACTGAACGTTTTTTAAAACCATAATAAGATGAATTTGATAAAAAAAATAATACTCTAATGTTAGTGGGGGCTTAGGCAATCTGGCTCAACTCGAGGATTTCCTATGAACAAATTGCATTTTTTTTGTTTTTTTTTTTTAATATTTGATTTAATATTATATTAGGTAGATATGTGAACTACCGTTACACCTTTTAACACCACCCAAATGTCTGTTTTAATTTACATTTTAGCGCTAATTCGTGAAACCGAAATAACCACTTAAGGCATATATGCCACTCGTCAAATTCGTTAAAGAAATAAAATGTTACTTATAAATGGTACCTATATTTATATACTCATAAGTGTATATTATATGATGTATATCAATAAATTAATATTGTACGTAAAAACGTGTCTAACTAAATTTAGCATATAATACTATACACGTTTTATTGTTTATAAATCGTTATTCCAAAAATAATATATTTTATATTTTTGTAAATGGAATACCAATACAGCGAGATTGTCTAAGATTTTTATTCAATCTAGTTACTTCGTATTTCTTGATTTTTTTTTTATTTACAGCGACTTTTCATTAAATTATTGATGTTAATTATTTTTAATTTATGGTAATTTTTGATTAATTTGTTTACAAATTGAGACATATATTATTTAATTATAACTATTTGGAAGTTAAACATCTTGTAGCATTCTTGTATATTAAAAACTACGAATTTGTAATAAATTACTTTAAGTGTAATAGTCCATGTAATATTGTCCAGGATCTTACCCATATTTGAATACTAATTTATTGGAAAATGCTAAAATATAAATGATTATCTATTAACCTCTTTATGCAAATAATAATATCATAAGAAATCAATAGTCGTTGAAAATTAATACTTTTTTCGATATATTCTACCTATAAAGTACGACTATTGCGAGGCCATAATATAAAAAAGACCGACTTTTAACGAGATGCTGACGGCGGTATAATGTTAACCAATGTTGCAACGTTTTTGGACCTACATTAAAAACCAGTTTTATATTGTTATTTTCTATTAAAAGGCGTCACATTACAATTCAATCAATTGTGAAAACGCAAAGAATAACATGAATTCGTAAAGATTATTATACTGCGTACGAAAAAAAAATCACGTCGAAATCGATAGGTACACGGAATGTCAAATATCTTAAGTTTCTATAATAACTGGTACTTACTTAAAAAAATAATCTGACTTCAAAATCCATTGAAACGGAAGTAGGTACGCGTTCAGTATAATACAAATACGGTTTTTTTTTCTATCAATAAAATCGAGTTACCAGATGACCGATGTTATTATTATTATATGATATTATAATTGTTAAAATTTAAATATTATGTTATCAAATTTATAAATAATCCGAACGACCGAACCATTCAAGTATCCATGTATTCGATATCCTATTCCTATATTATATAATATATAGAATTATATAGTATAATATATTAATATATAATATATGATTCAATGTCAGTATTAAATGTCAATGACTTAATTTTTAACATTATACTTACATTAGGTACTATCGTAATATTTCTATAACGTACTATTATGTAGTAGCTTATATTTAAAAAAAAAATTAAAATAGGATAGCATGGTAATTAAATAAATTACAGTAATAATAATTAATCATAGATAATATTGATCATTATTATCAAAAATGTTTAATATGTATCATATTGTAACGTTATACAAGATTGTTTATAACCGAAATATATTATTATGTTATTCATATATTTTATACTTTGTGTAATTGTGTGGGGGTCTTCGATTTTTATAAGTTCATCAAAGCACATTTCGATTGTACCTATTAGTATGTATTTACTATATGATTTTATAGGATTTTTAGTTATGATCCCTACAGATTATCTAACATTTTCCTAGAAGAAAATTGTATTTAGACACCTGTAGCAATGAGTTGATTACAATAATATTTATTCCTTGGTTTTATGGCAGTATTTAGATGATTTATTTATTTATTATACTATTTTATTAATATTGTACTGTTGATTTTTTACGTACATTTCACTTAACTTTTTACTTAAGACCAATATTTCTGTTGTTTCTTAAACTTAAAAATAAATTTAGTTGAACAATTTTTTCCTGGACATTTTTTATTTTTTGGTGCATTTTTAGTCGCGTTTATAAATATACGTTTTTTGACTTATTTTTAGTGAGATTCAATATTTTAGCCGTATAGTATTTAATAATATATAGGTATAGGTAGGTAATAAAATATGTTTCTTAACTTTTTGTCGTGTTAATAATAATGAATCACAATAGTAATGAAAAAGTTACATACGGCGCGCGTGCGCGGCCAATTTTTTTGCCGGGCCCGGAAGGTGGGACCCCGGATACGCGCTAGGTGGACCCGAGGCCCCACCAACGCGACCGAGGCCTGCCCAGCAACAACGGTTGTTCCGCGCGCATCGTCGACGCCGCCGCCGCGCTCCCGTTTAGGTAGCTAGCACGCACGCACTGCATTATCCACCGGCAGTCGTCACGCGGCCCGCCGGATAAGAGCACTCTCGCGTCAGACACTAAGAAATATAATATTATCGTAAATGCCCCGCCATCGCCGTAGTTGTCGTTTTTGCGTGTAATATCATAACAATATAATATTATTATTAACGTATGTGGTTGTTGTGTGTCATTGCGATCTATTATTTATTATTATTTTCAATCGCGTTTCGTTCGAGGGTTGTCGTTTGGTCTCGATCTCGATTCTTTTCGGTAGGTACATCGTTGTAGATTTATCATCCCTATCGTTGTGATACATAACCGTCGGCCCGGTGTTCGCGAAATTGTTTTGCTCGCACTATATACAATTGTATTATAGGTATTAAGTGTCCGAATAGTCGTCTCGCCGTCGTCCGGTGTGCGATACGGTGTGAAAAAGTGCGCGAATCGGCTGACGTGGTGAGCGCCGTGGCGTTTGCGCGAGCGCCACGTTTTTCCGACGTTATACGTTGTAATCCCCTCGTGGGTTTCCTTCCGTTTTCGCATAAAGTGCGTAAAAAGTGTCGCACGCAGCAACGAAGCTGGCGGTGTGCCAGTATGACATGAACAATTTTATGGAGGTAGGACTGACGAAAATTGTACCTATATATCTATTATTTTATAATCTTTTTTTCCTAGTCTATATTATATGCCTAGAGTGCCTATACTACAGTGCGCGTAAAATTAATTTTTTTAAGCGTATTGTTTTGTTAATGTAGCCATGTAGGTATTTGATTAGTATACTGCTCCCATAAGCCTCGATAATTCCATATTGGTCTCCCCAATGAGTGACATCGTTGTGTATAGTTTTTATTGTCATGTTAAGGCACCGAGAGAATATAGATCATCCAAGATCGCAATTGCACATAGATTTCTACATAATAATTTCGTCAATGTTTTTCACTGTTGAATATCATTAATCGGGCGTAATCTCAATTTAAAATAAATTGTTTTCTTATACCATTACTTAACCACAACACATTCCCAAAAACGCTTCTATATAATATATAGGTATCTACATATTATATCTATATTTATATCTATCTATATATATATATTTTAATTAAGTTAAGGCTTCGACATCTAAGGTCATTACCCTGGGTTATTTAGTAGGTTTTATTACTGTGGGGGAGGGTACTGCTGGTTAATGGTTTAGAACTGCAAGTGTATATGTGTGGCAAGGATTTGCCACTAAAAAGCCGGGTGGTCACCCATCAGAGAACTAGTGTCACCGGCTGATGCTGGCACTCAGAGCACATCAGTGACTGAAGCCAGACACCGTGCCGCAGCAAGTCACATATATTATAATATAGTATCGTGGCAAGCCAAAATAAATAAATAAATAATGCTTAACTAATATTGCATATAGGTAGGACGTATAGGTCGTAGATACATTGATTTTTCGAGCTTTCATCCTTCGTGCTAATTTAATTTTACTAAACTACAAAATAATATTATCATATTATGCCGAAATCGTATTTTTACTACATAAGTTGTCGCAAATATTATAATATAAGACTACGATCAGCTAAAATTACTGAACACCTCAAGAATTTTCAAGAAATAACAATATATTTACCCCAATGTCATCCACGCTTATTATAATATTATGTTATACGATTATTTCTGAAGATAACATTCAAACGCGTGTCGTATGCACCTAGGTATATAGAATGTGCACCTATTTAATATGCATTTCTCCCGCGAGCGTGTGTGTGTCTATACAAATGATAAATTATATAGGACATAATATATTATCATTGTGCGATGTGTATTTAGCCGTACGAAAGACGCGAATGATATTCATATATTATAATATTCATTTGGTCGAAGATTTCCGTATGTTAGTACATATAGTATTATATATATACGCACGCTCGATCAACATAACAGTTTCGCGTAAACCACCGTATACCGACGCGGGTAACCTACCTACATGACAAAATCGCACGATTCATCCGATAAACCTGGGTATAGGTACTGCAAGCGTATATGTACAGCGCGAGCGTTCAAGTCATCCGTCAAGTACCGTACACGCCTGTATATAGATAGTATAATTTACGTTATTACAATACGTTATACGTACTTACCTATATATCTATACCTATATATATACCGTCGTGTCGGCCGCAGGTCGCTATTTATGGAGACTGTCCAATAGATTATTATATTATTATTATTATCTACTGATATTGTAAACATTGTGCCCGACTCCTCGCATCACGTCAACATTTGTAATATCGTATCGAATATAGTATTTACAATCTACAGGTGAGTGATATCAAACATGTTGAATTTAAATTCTCACTTTATACTCGTAAGATATCGAATTCAATTGACGATTATAACACTGGCGGTCACTAATAATACGCAACGGGCAGGTGCCAGGTGCAATGTAGTGAACCTATAGAGTGTAGAGTGTATACTATATTATAGCAAATATGAAATAATAACATACAATTATTATACTCCCGGAATTGATTTATGCTTATGGTTAAATAAAATATAAATTCTATGTATGAAATAAGTTGTCTTATCCCGGGCGCCTTTATATAATAATATTACGATCGAATAGTTTGTTTCTCGTCCATCGTCGTAGGCCAAATTGTATATTTTAATATTATATAGGTAAACGTAAACCCCTCGGTATTAAATTGACCGGGTGATGCAAAATGCGCGGGCGCATTATAATATTCTATAAAGGTAGGTTATATAGGTAGGTACACATAGAAACCGATTGATCGATCTGTTTATTATTATTGCTGATTCATTGTTTACTCTCGTCGATCGGACGATAATGGCAAATCCACGGCTCGCGTGCTCTAACATTCACACCACACACACACACACACCACACACATATTCTCTGACGTAGATCAATAGTATACACCGCTTTGACAGTGACTGACGAAACGCCGACTGTCGCTGTAGTTCCCGCTTAAAAAAATCAATACCTACCTAATTTTATCAGGTTTTTACCATTTTATCATATCTTTGATTTCTGGATCGGTTAGGTTAGGTGCTTGGTATGTTTATTATTATATATTATTTTATGTTCAATATAGATTACCCTCACCGAACGATTATGTACCAAACAAATGCATTTGACCGATGGGAAGTTGTTAAAATAGGCCTCCCCCTTCTCTCCCCACGCTGATTTCTTGTGGCGAGCCCGGAGAGTATTTATGCTAAACCTTAACTCGAAATTCGGTCACGATTCCAATGCGAGTCGAAACAGTATATAATAGTAATGATAATAACAGTAACAGTAACGACAACGATCGTAAATTTCTCGCCTACATTATTATACGGGCGCCCGACGTAGATATGCGTTGAAAAAAAAGCTTGGACGGACGAATGAAATAAAAGATTTATCGCTTCAGTCTATAAAGAGAAAAAAAATTTAGCCGGTAACACACGCCTTAATTATCCGGTACCTGCCGCAAGACGGAAACGACACGAAATCAGTGACGGCCGACGACGACGGTGATGATGATAATATTATATTATTATTATTATTATTATTAATTCTCCTAGGATCGTATATTATACTATATTATGTGCATGTGCGTGTGTATAATCGACTCTTATTAGAGACGTGTATCGCGCGAGCGGCCCCGTGGATTCCCGGTGCACGAGCTACCGATAATTCGTCCGCCGTGTGTACCTACTGGTCCCCTGTAATGGTATAGGTTATTATAATTTATACATATATACGCATAAACCATTCGTACTTAAATCGTATAATGACGTTATTATGATATTTTACATATTATAATAATAAGTTGAAACAACGCGACACCTGCTTACTGTCGATATTATATAGGTAGTATAATACTATATTTAGGTAAACACATTATGTCGTACCCCTGCGGTGTACTCGAGCAGCGAGTACCATTTTAATCCAGAGGTAGGTCTGATGGTTTGACACTTAAATGTCAATCTTATAAATATTATACTTTACCAATCAAAGTATAATTTTTTTAAGCCCAAAACGGACGACTAATATTTTTTATCATATACAATATAAATATATATTATACTTAATTATACTGTCGATACTATCTTCTTCAATATAATATCCTTTAGCAAATCTTATAGTAATAAGTGCAGAGGGGACGAATTAAAAGTTGGCTGCGTAGTGTGTATATTATAATAATTTATACCTGAATCCCATTACCAAGTTAGGTTAGGTTAGGTTAGGTAACCTAACCTCCACAACGTTCCGTCGCATCGATTATAATTTATAATGCCTTACAAATTTTAAAAAGCTCTCAACATTTTCTATCGTTATGAAGTATTTTATTATTAGTTAATACGAATTCTTCGACCATATATATATATATATGGCTGTATGATTATATATAGTTCTATAATTTATTATCGTGATATCGATACTATCGACATTTCGATAAATGACGAGTAGATGATCAGATGTGTGCAACAATGATTTAGTTGCGTTCGATTTTTTATTTATTTACCACGCGCCAAGTTCCGCAATAGAAGAATGTCCTCCCCGCGATTCCGGACAGCCGGGAAAAAGCCCTCGACTACCGTAGGTACATGCATTATTGTCACGGAATTTATTTCGACATTTATTGAATAATATGCGTATGTTGCGGAGTACCTATACCAATAAACCCGAACAAACAATAGTCTTTCGTAGCCATCGTATGAAAAATGACGCGCGTAGTATTGATAATATTAATATGACCGCGCGGGAAACTCGTCATGAATATATATTATGTGATTTATACCATTTTATTATGACAAATCGTTCCGGTCGAAATGTAACATTATTATTATAAAAACGAATAATTTTTCAAAAAGTGTTCAAAATATAACTGAGTATACGCTTGTACAGTTGTACGTTGTGTGAGGATTTATAGCGTGTCCGCTGTGATGAAAGTCGAAAAGTTTTCTATTGTTATTATTACTATTATTATTATTATTATCCTTCCGTAAAAGAGGCAGTTGAGAACCGGTTATCGGTGGCGGCAACGGTAAAACTATAATAAAATGCACTGTCGCTCGCTGCGAGATTATAATAAATACAGTGTTTCGCTGTGTATATTTGTCCATGTCAATAACTTTTCTTTCGACTATTATTTTTGAAATATGATTTCGGCTTATTATAAGTTATAGATGACAATAATTCACCGGGTCCGGGAACCATATATTTATCCGAGATCAAAACAAAAAAATTTAATTATCTACGTGTTCACCTTAAATTTATGTAAATACATTTTTAAAGTTCAGTGATACTAAATTTAGTACTCAAATACAGTTAGGTAAGTTGTAAAATGTACAGACGAGATTTAGTCTAGCTAGTCTATATACACGAGAGTGACAAACATGTCAGCCGAACATGCAAACAGCAGTATACCCGCTGTTTTGTACGACACGATGATACATTTAATTCTAATCTCGTTTTGGCGCTTATGTCTTTCACTGAGTCAGGTATATTAGACGTTGTTGCTGTTATTGTTTATATGCCGATATATGATAATATAGCTATACCATCTCAGTCCTTTTTTTCTCCTCGTCGTATACAAATGCCTTCAACGGAAATCCGTCAGTT